TTAATGGTTGCCTAGTTAAATCTGATTTTCAGGTAAACAGGTTACTTTTTTTTAGCATAAGTATAACATAAGTCAAAATTATTCATTGCTTCTCTGAAATTGTAATTGAATTGGACCTGGTATATTTTCTATTTACTGAATCTGGCGCTGGTGCCCAGGTCCCCTCACTTCTAATTCACCTGGCCAGCTCTCTCCGAGGTCTGGGGAGAGAACTTCCTTCCTTCAGTGGCTCATGGAGGCTGCTGTTTCTGTGGGAAGAGGCTTTCTTCAGTGGAGCCCAGATGTGTACTGGAGTATTTGGAAAACATTGCTTAGGGCAGGAGAGATGGGTATTATGTTCCTCAGGTGGGCGGGAAACAGGTGCTATTGAGATGACAGAGGGACTTCAATGCAGACCCCGCTTACAGTGCTCCACCCAACTCCCATAAAAACCAGGCAGTCCTAGGGCATCTTGTAGGTTCCAGTTTCCCCCTTGGGGACCTTCGTCCCCTTCCTGTGCTGTACCCTCAAACAGAGCAGCAGTAGGAATCTCTTCCATTTTTTAATGCAACAACTTCAAATGGCACTGAGATGACCACGAGGTAATTTTGTCTCGAGAGGATTTGCCACTGAAGAAACACAAGGGACACCCTGTTCCAGGCAGCTGCACAATGCTTTCCTCTGTGTAGTTAAGACACCAATGGCCAACTTGATGGGAAGTCAGCTCATTTGTGCCAATTTCGGTCCATTCTTGAGAGTTGCTAGGACTAAACTTATGTGCACACCCATACACATCCTCCACTATCAGTGGGCGTAACAGAGGATGACAGAAGTGATTTCGGCACTTCATTGTGTCCTGGGGAATCACTCCCTATTTTACAGAGCATCCTCACTCCCTTATATCTGTTCAAGACTCCATGTATTCTATCTAGTCCATCTTCTGCCTGAGTATTCAGATGGTGTTCCAGTCAGTGTGTGTAATAATGGAGCAAATACCGTGTTCATACGTCCATTTACAGTTTTGCAAGTACATCTTTGAGACAAGATTTAAGAGGTGTGAGGGTAAACATCCTCTGATCTTTCTAGACTTGCCAAATTCCCATCCACAGAGTCAGACCATTTTGCCCTCCCATCACTATTTCATGACAGAATGGTGGGATTGGTATCTACAAGGGGTCGATATTCTGAATGTCTGAAATTTTATGCAAAATATTAGGTGCACTGGTCTAGAGACAAGTCTAGACACACATCACTCTGTCCCCAGTGATTACCAAGCTTCTCTCTTCTATGCCTTGAAATGTCACCCCCTACAGGTTTTCTTGACTTCCATGACTTGATCATATCCCCTGTGTTGGTTAGTTTTACTTAAGTCACCTGGGGACATCAACTGAAGAATTTCCTCCATCAGACTGGCCTGGGGTTGTGTCTGTGAGACATTTTCTTAATGACTAGTTGATGGTGGGGTGGGGGGACATGACACAGGACGATGGCTGCCTATTGTGGGTGGTGCCATCACTAGATAGGTGAGCTTGGGCTGTATAAGAAAGCAAGCCAGGGAAAGGAAGCCAGTAAGCAGCATTTCTCCAAGGTCTCAGCTTCAGTTCCTGCCCTTAGGTTTCCGCCTTGAGTTCCTTCCCTGACTTCCTTCAGTGATAGATTGTGACCTGGGAGTTGTAAGCTGAAATAAACCCTTTCCTTCCCCAAGTTGGTTTTGGTCAGAATTTTATCACAGCAACAGGAAAACAAATGCTACAACATTCCCGTTCACTCTTCACAGCACGTATTTCCGTTTTAATTTCCTATTTATTGATTTATCATTAGCACGTATCTTCCTCACTCATCTCTGTGAATTATGAAGTTAGAGACTAGTTTAGTTTGTTTTGAACTTCTAGAATAAGAAATTTGGGCTGCAACAATGTTAAACCATGTGGCCTTAAATAACGCACTTTTATTTCCCACAGATCTGGAGGGTGGGAATTCCAAGGCCCTGGACTGGAGTTTGACGCGGGCTTGGTTCCTTGTTATTACACATCATTTCCCGGTTACTGTATGCTGCCTTTTCATTACATGGAGAGCATAAAAGCAAACACAGCTCTCCAGTCTCTAGGGCACGAATCTCATGCACAAGGGCTCTTCCCTCATGATCTCATTATATCCCAAAAGCAAACCTCCTAATACTATCACATTGGGACTTAGGATTTGGTGGGGAACAATAGAGGAGCAACAACAGATCAAACAAACGATTCATTCCAAGTCCAGCTTGATGACCCAGTGAGTTATTGGGGTTACTTACGGAGGCTTAGGGTAAAGTCATATGCCCCAGGGAGGTTGCCGCTGTTTTTTTATTAAACAGTGTAGTGTGCCTGTCAATTTGCTTTCTAAACATTTGTGTTTCCACCTGTAGCTTACTGTTTGCAGTTGACATTGCTTGGGGAAGCTTCTTTGTTGCAGTGGGTGGTAGTTACTGTGGAGACTCATAAGTAGTCAAACTGCTGAGACTAAGTGACTGTTGCTGTGGCAGAGCTTTTCAATGTTCAGCCGTAAATGGAAGAGAGTAATCATCTGTATCATCTCCTTCAAGGCTGGAGGAACACTGTCAAGGAGAGGACAGAAAGAATGTAAGAACCAGAGGAAGGGGTGGAGCTGTTTCCTCCAGATCAAAACATTTTCTTGTAGAGGAAGAGGTGAGGCTCACGGCTTAAGAAACTTGCAGAACTTGTGAAGTCCCTTCCTGAGGTTATATAAAGCTGAAAAGGAGACACCACTAGCATAGCAATGTAATACAATGACAGTGATAATTAGAACATATGTGTATGTATTGTGGGGTGTGTGTGTGTATGGTACATACACTGAGCATGTAGGTGTGTGTGCATGTGGAGGCCACAGCAGGACATGGATTGTCTTCTATTGATTTCCATCTAATTTCTTTGAGACAGCCTCTCTTATTCATGCTCACTGTTTTGACTAGGCTGAATGATCAGGAAGCTCTCTGGATCCATCTGTGTTCCTCACTGCCAGTGCTGGGGCTACAGGCACTAGCAGCCATGCCTGAATTCTCATGAGGATACTAGAGTTCCCAAATCAGGCCTTTGTTTGCAGAGGAGCTCTCTAACCCACTGAGCCTGCGCTATCTCCTTAGCCTCACCCAGAACAGATTTGTGTGTGTGTGTGTATGAGCGTGTGTGTGTGTGTGTGTGTGTGTGTATGTCCGAGAAGTGGGGCAGTGCATGAGTGCAGACACATGCATGCCATGGTGCATAATGTTAGATGACAACTTTAGTGAGCCAGTGCTCTCCTTTCATGGTGGGATCTGGGGATCAAACTCAGGTTGTACATTTACCTGTTGAACCATCTCTCCAGAACAAATATATATTTTTGTAGGTAAGGGTTATTTCTTTTAACACCTCTATTTATTGACTATAAATCACTATCATAAATATCCCATCTACATCAATAATGGCAATCCAGCTTTTATCTTAGCCAACTACTCCTGTTTTACAATCTTCACCAGAGAACAAATATTTTTTAAAGGAAGAAAATATATAGCAACCACTATATTTCAAGTGCTTTAAAAAAAAAAAACAGATCACCTCATCTTAATTTTTTTGCAGTGCTGGGGATTGAACCCAAGGTAGGCGGTAGTCTTACACTGAACTATGTCCCTAGCAAAACCAAAACAAAATAAAAAAAAAACTTATCATCTTCACATTATCCTTAATAGTTTATGAAATCTAGGCCCTTCTGAGAATCTGACAAAAAACAATCAACAAATATCTGCTGAGTATATTATATATATATATATATATGGTGTGTGTGTTTGTGTGTGTGTGTGTGTGTGTGTGTGTGTGTGTGTGTGTGTGTGTGTGTGTGTGTGTGTGAGAGAGAGAGAGAGAGAGAGATATCAAAATAGGTACTGGGACTACAAAGCTGCAATACATTGAGCTGTTTATAGAAATAGTCTACCAGGAAAAGTTATGCAGCCATCTTAATAATTGAAAAGACTTAACACAACTGGGAGCAGGCAGAAAACTTACTTGCTACTGTGGCAAGACAGTGGTGTCAGTACTGCAATCAAAACATCTCTTGGGGGACCTAGAGGACTTAGTCTCTTAGAAGAACAGACACATTCTTGTGCACACACTAATTCTCAAGCAGCACGGTGAGGGCCGTGTGAGCTGCTTGGAGCAGGAGGAACTCGCTTGTGTTGTTTAGTAAAGCTCAGGGAGTGAGACATGAGCTGTGCCTTGCAGATGAGGAGATATTTTTCAAGAGCAGAAACAGGAAAGAATTGTGGAAGTGGGACACGGTCTGTAGATGGGAGGATATTCAATGGGGTGAGAGCACAAGATATGTGAGGGGAGTGGAATGCTTGAGATGAGCCAGAAGAGAAGTTTATAGCCAGATTGTGAGGAACCTCATAGGCCATTTTTCTGAAGTTGAATTTTTAGTCTCTGGCCTTGAAAATACATGGATTTTGGAGAAGAGATGGATTGTTGTGATGATCTGTAAAAGTGCTCTTGTGACTTAGGAGAAGCGTCTTACTAGAGGAGTCACTGGAGTTCGGGCCCTGGAATCAAGATGCAGGTGCAGACCCTGACTCCATCGGACAGCTGAACTGTTCACTTGCACTCTGTAAGCCTGGTTTCCCATATGTACAGTGGGCATCATGATACCCATTGTCAGGGATGTTATGGGATCAAATGGCACAAGCATTGGTTGGTGCAAAGTCATCCTGCAGTGGATAATGATAGCGTCCTTTTCTGGACTCTGGGACTGAACTTGAGAGCCCTTCAGGATGTAGAAGCTATTTTTCTTGCTTCTGAAGAGCCCTTTTGGAAACTGTTTGCATTTCTTAGGACCACCTTCCTTGTGCCATCCCTAATGAGACGTGCTCATGACTGGCGAGAGTGTGGAATGCTTTGATGGCCTCCCTGGATTTTACTCTTACGGTGCTTTCTTGGAAAACTTTTTGACCTCATGAAAAATCTTTTTTTTTAAGATGTTTTATTTAGGAGTTAGAAATGGAGTCGCTATATCTTCAAAAGTGTCTTGGAACATGTCTAACTCAAGGCCTTGCAGAAGTGGCAAGAGTTCGTCCAGTGGACCCAATAGAATATTTAGCGATGTGGATTTACAAATACAAGGAAAATGTGACCATGGAAGAGCTGGTAAGGATAGATTTCCTTTTAGGAATTAGAAGAGCCCAATAATTGATTCAACTTGCCCACATTTTTATGTTCAATATTAGTTCTTTCTATAATAAAAATGTTTACTATGTAAAAATGTTGGACAACATGTAAAAGTGGAAAGATAGGAACAGAAAGAAAACATCTGTTTTGATTTTAGGCATTTTCGTTTGTGCATTTTCTTTATCTGATATATTTCTAAAGATTTTCCTTTTCATTTTTATAATCAATTTATAATTTTAATTTTGTGTTCTTTGTTCAGATAAAACACACAACTCCCCCAAATTATTACATAGTTTCCAAATGAATACGCCATAGTTTACTTACCCCTTTTACTATTGTTGGTGATTAAGATGCTTATAAGGTTATTTTAACAGATTATTTGATCTCTAATAAGTTATATGCTATTGATTTTGCCAACTTCTAGAAACAGAAAGAAATGGTTGATTTGGAACATGAGAGAAAATTAGCTCTGATGGAGCAGGAAATGTTGGAACACCTCAGAGCAGAAGAGCTCTTCTTTCAGCAGGTGAGACAAAGAGGCAAAGGTGATGGTGATGAACAGTGTCACCCTTATTGAAATACTGACGTTCTCCCTAGCTCTGCTCACTTGGACATGGTTCTCTAGTATCTTCATCTTGCTTTGCTGGAGAAGCAGCAGCTTATGAAAGAGGACAAACCAGAGAGTGTGTCAAGGGGACAGGGTGATCAACTGAACCTCAGCTCCTGCTCCTCCAAGGTCCCCAGCCCCTCCAGGGACAGTGGAGGGGAGGGCAGTGAATTAGAAGGGAGCTGGTTAGTGGGCATAGTGCATCCATGGAGACTGAGGGGAAGGCAGTGGCTTTTATCGTGGCTGAGTAACATGGAAGTGGGACTGGCTGACATAAGAAAACAGAAAGGAGGGTCCACAGAGCCTTCTGTCCATGGGAAGATGAGGGCATGGGTCTGGAACACAAGGGGAAGAGCCTTTTATTGTAAGTCAGAAACAAAGAAGAGGTAACACAGGTACAGGTGGGTGTGTTGGTGTGTGGCAAAAAGTTGGAAGGAGGCTCCACATGACTTTCTTTGTCATAAAGTAAGGACCATGATCATCCACCAAGAAGGAAATGACCAGGTGGGAAGGGTAGAGAGAGTCATAAAAGTTAAACACTGCCTTTGGAAGATGGGAGAGTGGTTTACTGAAGCTATAGATCACACACCAAGAACCCCCCAAAAAATCTTAAGTTCAAAATAGTCCCAAATAAGAAACTTTTTGTGTACTTACCTTATGCCACATGTGGAAAATAGATATATAATATATATTATAGTATATAATAAAATATATAATATATAATATCTCTTATAATATATAGTATCTCATATAGTATCTCTATAATATATAGTATCTCTTTATAAATGCTAAGGAAGTGTTTCCTTAGCATTTATAAAGAGATACTCAACCTATACAGGTAGCCTTTGGAAACCAAGCATTCATAATAGTGCCATCGGCTTGGTGATGTGATTTTCTCCACATAGACTTAGGTACCTGAGTGAAAATGTGGAGGAGGAATGCCATTTGACTACACAGGTCTAGGGCAGCAGGACAGGGGAGCTGAAGATGTTAGTGAGGAAAACATTGCAGGGTTGGGTCATAGAGAATACTCCAGATAAAGGATAATTCCAGAGTGGCGTCTAAACTGACTTAATTTATAGTAAACATCTGAATGTGGGAGCCACTGAAATAGGTCTACCATAAAGTATTTCACTTTAGATTCTCCACTCATGTCCACACACTTAAAAGGGAAAGAAGCCTGCTATTTGGAAGTATGAATAAATAGAAACAATATAGCTCTAGCAAAAAGCATCTCAGCCAAATCTCCCAGCCTTCCTACTGAAGTAGAAATAGCTACTAAGGGGCCTAGATCTGGGACAGGCCTGTTGAAAACTCCAGATTTATTCTTGGGAGGAATACCATGTGTGGGTTGGGCCTCAACTTGTCCTCCAGACAGGCAAGGTGTCTCCTACAGCAGCAGTAACTTTGAATGGGGACCTGTCCTTTTTCTGACAGTCCCCACTGTTAGATCTGACCCCTATCTATCAGAATCAGGAGAATTCCCAATAGCTCTCCTTCTCCAAGACTGTCAGACCACAATTCACGAGGACTTCATCTTACTCAGATAAAATTCAGCAATACCATAAAACAACATTTCTGTAGCCACATTGACCAGCAAAACTAATCAGCTATGCATTGAACCCAAAGCATTGTATTGGGCGGGAAGTGAATGTATAATGCTATCCAGCAGGAAAGTTGATGGCCCATTAAAGAAGTGATTTGTGAGTGGAAATAGTTGGAAGAAGGAGGGATGAACCAACAGAGAAGGACTTAACGGGGAGTGGGGCTGAGGTGAAGGGAGGCCTCCTGCTACTCCCAGAAATGTGTGAGCTGGAGGTTGAAGACCTGGCCTCCTCCTTGCGGCCACTTCAAACTCAGCACTGGCCAGTTCAGTAAGCAACACGTGGGTAGCCTTGGGAACATCCTCAGCTCAACAAAAGCCAAAGAAAAAGCTGGGCATGGTGCTTCATGCCCATAATCCCTGCACTGGGAAGGTTGAGGCAGGAGAATCTTAAGTTCCAGGCCAGTCTGAGTTACATAGTAAGATCCTGTAAATAGTAATAATAATGATAATGATGATGATGATGATGATGATGATGACGATGATGATGATGATGATGATGATGATAAAATAAGGGGCTGGAGTGATAGCTCAGTGGTTAAGAGTGCTTGCTGCTCTTCCAGAGGATCTGAGTTCTGTTTCTAGCACCCATTTTGGGCAGCTCACAACCACCTGTAACTTTAGCTCTAGACAGTTTGTTGCCATCTTTTGGCTCCTGAGGGAGGGCACCTGTACACACATGCACATACACACAGACTGACACACACATATACACATAGAAACAAACCTTTTATTTTTCAAAAGGCAAACAAACAAAAATCAATAAAAACCAAGAGAAAACATTCAAAATCATTTGACTTGTTTTTAATTGACAGCCAATATTGCACCCAGTGTCAACAGTTTGAGTAACTGTTCTTGCTAAAAGGCTAATAATCCAAACAAATTAACTTTATGGACACCTCTCTTTTATCATGGAAATCAACAGTGCTTAAATTAATTCCCTGCTGCTGCCAAATGTCTTTCCTGGCTTGGAGAGCCTCGAACTACTTAGATTCTTGTATTGTTTCACACCCTGTTTTCGTTTGTGTGAAGAAATTCTGTTGTGATGAGATAAAGCTAGTTTAAATGTTCCATTTTTCTGACATTTGCTTTTTTAATTAAAAATTGTTATTATTGTGTGTGTGTGTGTGTGTGTGTGTGTGTGTGTGTGTGTATGACATGGTGAGGAATATATGCATGCCTTGGTGGAGTTGTAGGCTTACTTTTTTTCTTTTCTTTTTTTGTTTTTTTATAGGAACACCATGTAGTCCCAGCTGGTCTGGAACTCTCTATGTAGACCAGGCTTGCCCAATCTCACAGAGACCCACCTGCCTCTGCCTACTGAGTGCCAGGATTAAAGGTGTGCACCACCACACCCAGCTCTTCCACAGCTTTCATGTGGGTTCTGAGGATTGAACCCAGGTGGTCAGGTTCCCAGCAGTTACTTTTACCCATGGAGCCATCTTGATGACTCCTGACCTTTGCTTCCATATGAGTTGAGAATATTGTGACGTGTGCTTCACCTGATGTTCATAGTGTTCTTTTAGCACAGTGTCATTGTATTTTAAAAAAAAAAATCCTGTACTGCCAGGCGTTGTGGCACACACCATTAATCCCAGCACTCAGAGGCAGAGGCAGGCAGATCTGTGACATCCAGTTCCAGGCTGGGGGACAGGGAGACCCTGTCTCAAAAAAAAAAAAAAAAGTCGCATGGTGCTACCATTGTATTCCAAGCACTCTCTGATTTTGTACTGAACATCTGTGTAAAGGCAAGATAATACTACATGTGGTTTCTGTTCTGGCTACTTTGCTCTGCTGTTGTCTGTGAAAAGCAGTCACAGACAATTCATAACTGAATGAATACAACTGTGTTTCAATAAAACTTTGTTTACAGCTGCTGTAACATGAAGTATCCTTTTGATCTTTTTCTTCCTCAACCATTTAAGAATGTAAATAACATTCTTGACCACTAAGCTACCCCAAAAGGGAGCAGGGTCAGATCTGTCCCACAGGCTCCATTACTAACATCTGTGTGGCATACATGCTGAGTTAGGACCAAACTTACTATTAATATGACACATTTACAGATGCATATTCATATTCATAAGATTTTTTCCACTCACCCAAGATTTGGTTCTTTCAATACCTATCTATTGCTTAAAGAAAAAAATTTTTTTTATTTATTTGAGACAGGGTTTCCCTGTAGCCCCAGCTGGCCTAGAACTCACTATGTAGACCAGGCTGGCCTTGAACTCATTAGACCTCTACCTGCCTCTGCCTCCCCAGTGCTAGAACTAAAGGCATGTGCTACCATGCCCAGCTGCTTAAAGAAATTTTATCAGAAGAAAAACCACTGTAGTTTCAAGAACAGAAAAATGACTTGACTTTGTATCAACTACTTCTTGCAACTAGCAGTTAAAGAAGCCCCATTTTTATGGTTAAGGAAATATTTGTAAAAGCTAAGTATTATGTATGTGACTATGATCATTTTTGTAAGTTTCTGAAATTTAGATGGGAATAAATGAAATTATCATGGGGGACTTAAAAATAGTACATAGCGGGCTGTGGTGGTTCATGCCTGTAATTCCGGCAGTAAGGAGAGTAAGGCAAGAGATTGTCATGAGTTAGAATCCAGCCTGTGCTACACAGGTGAGACCCTGTTTAAAACAGACAAGAATGTCAGAGTCAATTCCTTGCAATCGATCTATTATAACTGTAATCTGATTAACACTGCGAATATTCAGCAGCAGCTGGCGTTCCAGCTGGAGTTGGAAATGCAAGAAAAAGAGAAACAGAAGACACACGAGTTCCAGAGACCTCAAGAACAGTTAAACAAGGTACTCTGAAGTTTTATAAACGCTTGCCTATTTGAAGCTTTTAGACTCCTCAAACCGTTTCTTCCAGCAGCAGCAGCAGCAAAGAAGTTGTGGGATTCAGAGTCCCGACGCTAGCCCCACATTCGCTGTGGGGCTTCAGCAAGTGTTTTTGGTCTGCTTTCCTGTTTCAAAACATCCACAGCAGCATAACAGTGTGATGGCATCACCCCACACTAGGGTGAGGGTCAAGTACAGTTAGTGTGTGCAATGCCTCTGTGAGAGGGGACAGGCTCTAGAGCGACGCTGTCAAAATCAGGAGCTAGCTGTTGTTAATTACACTGGCTGCTTTAAGGTTAAGGTCTTTGCAGTATGGAGGGTATTCTTATGGCTGAGACAGCAGTATGTCTCTTCATGTTAGGCTGATCAAAAATCATTTGCTTTTTAAAAATCTATTCTTACATAGATTTTTCATTTTTCATTTTATTGGAATGAACTATACTATAACATTTTCCCAAAAAGTCCCCTTTCACTGATTATATGTATATAAAGTCAAATTTCCAGTTGGGCCAATATTTCCTAGTATTCTGAAAATGTGCAACATATAGGTCAAACTTCCAAATGACTGCATTTATGGCTGCTCCCCTACTCCTTGTACTGACTCTGTAATTAAAACCAAGATCAGAAGCAAGTTTTACAGAATGTGCTCAATGTGTTTATTAATGTTTTAATGGGTCAGATGAGAAAAATCATCATTTAAAAAGTGTTTTGGGGTTTTTGTTGTTGTTGTTGTTGTTGTTTGGTGTTTTGAGACAGGGTCTCCCTGTAGCCCCAGCTGGCCTGGAACCACTATGTAGACCAGACTGGCCTCAATCTCACAGAGATCCACCTGCTTCTGCCTCCCAAGTGCTAAGATTAAAGGTGTTTACCACCACACCCAGCAAAAGCATTAAAAAAGTATGTGGAAGGTGAACTGAATAAAAAAGATGAGATTTTGAGGAATAAATTCAAATATCAGTGCAAAGTTGAGAAACGAGATGTTGGGGCTGGGGAAATGACTCAGCAATTAAGAGTACTGGCTGCTCCTGCAAAAGACCCAGGTTCAATTCCCAGTACCTACCTACATGGCAGCTAACAACCATCTGTAACTCAAGTTCCAGGGGAATCTGACACCCTCTTCTGGTCTCCATAGACATTGCATGACGTGGATGCACTTCCATACATGTAGGCAATACACTCATACAGATGAAATAAAAATAACAAAATATTTTTTAAAACACAGATGCTGATATGTTAATCTGTATAACAGGAACATTAGCGTGTGCACATCAGCGCTCACACATATGAGCACACCAGAGGGGGCCACCCATGTCTCCAGGTATCAGCCTCTGTGACCAAAGTCAACACAACTTTAATACTTTGTGTCCCCATTGGCTTAGCATCCCTCATCTCTATCATGGAAACTATCCCTGTTTCAGTCACTACTCAGAGGCGAGTCCCTTCACATCCCTTGCCCTGACCATCTTCTGGCTGCAGACACACAATTTAAACTATCCCTCTCAAATGTAGTAGAAGAATCTTGAGTTGAAGGGGGCTAGACCCCATTTGCTTCAGTCCTTTGGGAACAAAAGAATTAAGAGCTAGTAGGCCTCTCCCCTCTGCTTCTCCCTCGATGTTCTTTCAGCCTTCCTCCTGAATGTTCTGGTTTGTGGCACAGGGTGAGGAACCTGGTCCTTACTGGTTCCTGAGAGTAGCATGTTGTGGCTCCCCCATTGGCACCGTTCCTCAATGGATTTCTTTTCTGGTTTCAGTCAAAAAAATCTGGGGGAGGGTTTGTGTCAAATATCCATCCTGATGGTTGGAGTCATCAGACCTCTTAGTGCCAGTATATGAATGCCGAATAAGAGCTTCCTGGGAGAATGGAGTCATCTTTGCAAAAGAGAACCATATACATTCCTATAATTGGGGTGGCCACATGCATGGTCATGAGATCATTAGTCTTCCACCAGCCAAAAGGACTCAGTCCAGCATCAGTTATATCACCCTGCTGGGAGCCCATCCTGATGAAAAGACAAGCCAGGGTGAGATCGGCTTGGTTAAGGCAGTGTTTGGAAGGAAGAGGCCTTCCCACCCTGGGCGGGACATTCCTACTGCAGTCAGAGTATGAGTGTTGCTAAGGCTCCGCGAAGATGACTTGGAGTTGGATAGTAGCTTGTGGGAGATTAATTTCAGAAACGCCACTCCTTTCTCACTGTAAAACCCAACTTCAACTTTTTTAAAGGTTAAAAACTTCATTCAATTTTATGTCTTACAGGGTTTATACTGAGTTCAATATTGTATAACTGTATTTATTCAACAGTGAACCCAGAAAATTACAGCCACTTGTGAAAGAGATGTACTCTTGCTCTAGAGTGTTACTGAATATGTTAAAGCTGTAATGAAATGCTTCTAATCATTTAGTTATTAAAAATTTTAAAAAATAAAAAAACTATTTCAAGTTCTCTTTAAAAATCTCTTAAATCTAAGATTTTGCCCCCTTTTTAAAATCAGTTTTCACATTTGCTAGTATGTTGGCCTCAGCTTTAATGTTTCAGCCCATTTTTAAGAAAGTTTCACTTACAAATGAGTACAATGATCCTAGAGGGTATTAGCTGAAACTGATTCACTGCTTTGTGTTCAGCGTATTCAGATTAAGCCTTAGAAAAAAATTGCTTTTGCTAGTAAACGGACCATACCATTATATAAAAATAAAAATGCTTGAAAATGAAACAGGAAATAGAAATAACGTTCAGTGTTTTCTTAACTTTTATACACTCTAGGAGATGATGACGAACATAGAAAGCGCAGCAAGGGCTGAGGATTCCACGCGGTTGGAGGTGAGAGGGTAACGCCAGTCTGTGCTATGTGGAATGAGTACATGTCCTAGAGCGCAAGGCTTAATTTTTATGCCTCAGTAGATAACGTTTTAATGAGAGCATTATCAGTCTATTAGTGGTGTCGCACACTCGTAATCCCGGCACTCAGGAAGCAAAGCAGGAGAAGGGCTGTGAGTTCTAGGCCTGCCTGGCTGCATAGTGAGACCTTGCCTTAGCAAAACACAAACCAAGTGTGATGGGCTTTGAAATAAAACCTCAAAGTGGATAAAAATTGGACATTCTGTGTGTAATTGCATTTTAAAAATATTTTATTTATTATTTTTATTTTATGTGTGTGAGTATATTACCTGCATGTTGTGTTGTGCAGTGCCTGCAGGGATCAGAAGAGGGGATCAGATCCCTGGAACTGAAGTTACAGATGGTTGTTAGCCACCATGTGGGTGCTGGGACTCAAACCTGGATCCTGCAAGAGCTGCCAGTGCTTTTAACCCCTTGAGCCATCTTTGTAGCCCTGTACTTGCATTTTTAAAAGCTAGGATGTCCTGTTACATTGCTCATAGAACTGCTTACAAATTTGGAATTTTAAAACTATGAATATGTTTTTAAAAATAACTTTCAGTGCTTCTTATTAGAATTCTCTTGCCATTAACAGGTAAAGAGTAATTCTACCAAATAACAATGTTGAGTTTCGATGCCATAATTCAGAAAGTTTATAGCAAAGTTGAAAGAAAGACAATACACTAATTTTGAAGCCATAGGAAAGTAAAAAGAATATGTGCTTTATAACTGTAGGAATCAGGAATGGACTCGAGCAAGACTCTAGCTGAGATCAGTGATCGGTATGGAGCCCCTAACTTGAGCCGAGTGGAAGAACTTGATGAGCCAGTGTTATCTGATGTGAGTATCAAGACATGCCTTTTAAAACAGATGTTTCAAAATGCTGATAAAGGGGCTGGAGAGCTGGCTCAGCAGTTAAGAACACTGGTTGTTCTTTCAGAAGACCCGGGTTCAAATCCCAGAACCCACATGGCAGCTAACGACTGTCCTTAACTCCAGTCCCAGGGGATGCAAGAGCCTCTTCTGACCTCTGTGGACATTGTATGGCATGGGTGCACTTACCTACATGCAAGCAATACATGCATACGCATAAAATAAAAATAATAAAAAACTTTTTTAAAGTTTAAAATGCTGATAAAGTCTAGTACACATGAGGCCAGATTGGCTGGCAAATAGGACTTTTTCTTAATACAAAGAGGACCAAAGTCCGTGGTTGCTAACCAAATTCGTAATTGGTACGCTGGTTGTCTCTGAAGTGATCTGTGTTCTTATTTGTATCTATAGCTTCACACCTGTCTGTACTTATATTTATGTCTATACCATCTCTACCTATGTATTTTAGAGTTTGAAAATATCAAAATCACTTCAAGATACATGTATAAAATAATTTTGTGAAATAATCCTTAAATTTGGCAGGGAAAAAGAACTATTTTTTTCCTCTGGAGCAAACCTTGGAAACTAAATATTCTAGTGAAAATTGTGTGTGTGTGTGTGTGTGTGTGTGTGTGTGTGTGTGTGTTGTTTTAGGATAAACTTTGGGTGATAGTGTAGACAATTGGTCTTTTAGAGACGGGGGTCTCCCTGTAGCCCCAGTTGGTCTAGAACTCACTATGTAGACCAGACTGGCCTTGAACTCACAGAGATCCATTTGCCTCTGCCTCCTGAGTGCTGGAATTAAAGGCATGCACCACCATGCCTGGCAAGTATATGTGTTTTTATAGTATATATGTGTATCTGTTTAGTTAACAAGGATATTGTGACTTCCATGTATCAATCATTGTGCCAGATGCAGTTGGGATAAGACAGTCAGTTTTCACCTTGTGGAGTGAAACATAATCAGAAGTGTTTCATGGTCATTGTTGGGATGATCAGCATATCTACTGTCCACACCAGTATGGTTTTGCGAATGAAAGGAGGAGCTATTAATAACTGAGTCCAACCAGCAGCTGTGCATGGGGGCTGTCCTGACAGGAGGGCACATCTGGCTGCTTGATTCTGTGTGTACTGAGGAAGCAGGACATGTGGACAGTGGAGGAAGCTTAGTGAGGGAAGTCCCTGAAGGAAGTCAGTGAGTGTTTCTCAGTGGTGTGGAAACGGAATCTAAGAGAGTGTTCCAGGCAGAGAATATAAGAAGGGTGAAGACCCCAGTAGGAGCGATCTATGGAATGGGGTGGGGACTGGGGGCTATGAAGGTGAGGAGAAAGCAGGGGCCAGACCCTGAAAAGACTTGTAATTCCTTCCAGAGGCTTATATGCTTCCTACAGGCAACAGAAGCCAATGTGATGAAAACTGTACTTTAGAAAGACCATCTGGGTACAGTGTGGGGAAGAGAATGGGGAAGTGGATGTGAGTGTATGGGCTTTTTGCCTGTATGCGTGTACGTGCACAATGTGTGTACAGTGCCCTCAGAGACCAGAAGAGGTATTGGATCTCCTAGAATTGCAGTTATAGATGGTTGTTAGTTGCCATGTGGATGCTGGGAACTGAACCTGGGCACTCTGGAAGAACAGCAAGTGTTCTTAACCACTGAGCCATCTCTCAGCCCCCAGACCAATTAAGTTTTGATAGTAATCTACAGAGAGCATGTGTGTCAAGTGAGCTATGGGAAGAAGCAAGGCATCGAGAGAGTGTGTGAGGCCTGCAGGCTTGGGAGAAACCACTAGAAATTCTAATAAGGGGTGGTTGTACAAAGGAGGAACCCCTCTCCCCAAGGATGAGGAAGGAAGCAAGGGGCAAAGAAAGGCAGGGGTAATAACTAGCTTAGGAATGTAATTTATGATTATATTGTATTTGGGTATTCTTCTAAATCATCCAAAACTCTCAAGAAACTTCATTTATAGGACCACATAGATTACTTAAGCTCTGTTTTCTCTGTATTGTTTCTTTTCACTGTAGTAAAATGTATTTACTTTGTATTTGCTTTTAGGTCGCGTTAAACATTGATCAAGATTTGTAGGATCAACTGAAGAGAAATAAATTTTTAGCTTCAAATCTTGAGGGCTCTGATCATATTTTTTTTCTTCAAACTTGAACTCGACTCCTCTGCCCCCACTAACTATAAAGGGGCTTCAAGGGTAGCTTTAAAATATGGTTTGCATCTCCTAGTACAATTGATGACTTGTGTGAACCATTGGGGAAGAAGGAAAGAAGAAACCAAGTGAGGCAAGAGAAGAACAGAAGAACGTGCATCTCTACACAGAACAAGATTGCTTGGTAGGAAAGTTCTAGAAAAGAGGTTGCTTCTGTGGAAGTCTCAGGGGGGCTCCAACAGGCCTTAGATGCGATGTCACCTTTGGGAGTGAACTGCTCGGTCTTCTCCAGGCTGTCTGTGGGTAAACTTCACAGCCCCACAGCCCGTCACACTGCCATGATGTGACTGCAGTACAGGACTGATTTTTCCACAGTTCCGTTTGGGACTGTTGTCAAGTTTGGCTTGCCCGTCCCCACTGAAGAACACATGTTGGGGTTTCCTTTTCTTTACTCTTTGCCCAGTTGGGCACCCAGGGCCCTGCCTTCCTCTTCTGGATTTCTGAAGGGAGGGATGTTGCAGGGAGTGTCCATACAGAGTAAATGGAGTGGGAAACAAAAGGATCTTGGAGTGTTGGGGAGCATTGTTTTTCTGGGTCAGTGGGTGGACACAGGTACCAGGATGCTGTGCTCTGGATGATCTCCCTGGAAACAGGCTATATATTCTTGGTCCTTTTGAAGTTTCAGATCTAACCTGGGAATTTCAGGAAAACTTTATTTCCTTTACAAAATTCTTCCAAATCCAAGACTATGTTGTGAGTCTTCAGGTCTTAGTTCTGAAATCATAAATGCCAAAAAAAAAGACTTTTATGTTTTTAAATATGTTTGAAATCTGTTTGGGGCTTTAATATCCTTTCCCCAAGGTGCTGAGAAGAGAACAGCTTATTGTTTAAATGGGAATAGAAAAAGGGAAAAAAAGGAAAATATTTATTTCCTTAAAATTAAACATTGCTATACAAGTTCTATATATTTTTCTCAAAAGGCCCTGGACAGATGTGTCCTGTGGGAGTCTGTCTGCTGCACACTGGGGTCCATCATATGTCACTACCAATCACATCCACCCAGGCACAAGAATCAGAGAAAGGGAGCAGTGCCCTTCCAAGCCTAGCTTCAGCCTCAGAGGACTCCACCATAGAAGGCTGAAGGTTAAAGACAAAATAGGCGAACATAGCCTGAGACAGTCCTCAAAGGGTATGAGTGAGGAGCTGGGTTTAGCTGGTCATAGGGTGATGCATTAAGGTTCCATGTTGGGTACGGTCTTGTTTAAAGTATTTGTCGGGACTAGAGAGATGGCTCAGTGGTTAAGATCATTGGCTGCTCTTGTGGAAGACTTGGGTTCAGTTCCCATCACCCACATGGCTGCTAACAGCCATCTATAACTCCAGTTCCAAGGGGTCCAATGTATATGTGTAATATACTTATATACATGAAGGCAAAACACTCATGCACATAAAATTAAAATAAATAAATAATTTTTAAAAATTCTAAAGTACTTCTGGACAGAACTGGGCAAAAGAGGGGAAAGGAAGAAGAAGCTCTTAACCTTGAAGGGAGCGAGATCCCAAACTGAGCAGCTAACCTTGACTGTCTCTCTGAACCAGAGACTTTCTTACTGATGGCATTAGATTTATTCTGGATCCAGTGTTAGGAGTGGAATGATAACTATTCTGACAGTTGTGAAGGATATAAGCATGGGTAATTAAATGATTTTTTTTCCCACTGCAAAAGATGAGACCATTAAAATGTTTGCAGGTGCACTAAATCTCAAATGGAAGGATTTTAATACTCAGCAAAGTCAAGGGTGAAGTCAAGGACTCTTATTTCTCAACTAAAATAAAAAAACAAAGAAAAGGTATTTCGGAGTAATTTATTTTTCTCTAATACTTTTCATACTTCACTTCATTTTTATTTTATTTTTTTTTAAATTTTATGTGTATGCGTGTATTGCCTGCATGTAGGTAAGTGCACCCATGTCATGCAGTGCCTGCAGAGGACAGAAGAGACTGTCAGATCTCCTGGAACTTGAGTTATGGACAGTTGTTAGCTGCCATGTGGGTGCTGAGATTTGGGTCTTCTGCAAGAACGGTGATCCGAACCGCTGCACCATCTCTCCAGCCCCTTATTTGATATTTTGAATACCCAATTTTCTCTGATCCTCTTTTCTGTAGATATCATAGTCTCTGTTCTGTTAAAACTAGAGGTGCTTTATCTTAGATATGGGATTGCATATGTAACTGCTTTATTGGACAATTTACATACCAAAAGTTTCACATATGTAAAGTTTATTTATTTATTTATTTGTCTTATGTGTATGAGTGTATTGCCTGCATGTATGTAAGTGCACTCATGCCATGAAATGCCCACAGAGGTCAGAAGAGGGCATCAGATTCCACTGGAACTGGCATTTTGGACAGTTGTTAGCTACCATGTGGATGGTGGGACTTGAACCCTGGTCCCCTGCAAAAACAATCAGTGATCTTAACCCCTGAGCCATCATTCTAGTCTTGTAAAGTTTATTATTGCTTGGGTTTTGGTATATCCGTGCAACCACTACTACAGTTAATTTCAGAACCTTTTTGTCAGTCCAAGAAGCATCTCTGTGCCCTTTAGCCACCCTTCCCTCCCATTTGACACTACTCTCATGCCCTGAAATCCTACATAGTAATCTACCCAATATCTACCCCTATTAGTGAGGCTGTGATTGACTAACCACTGGTTCAGGTTAATGACAGTCCGTGCTTCCCAAGCTCTTGTGGTATCCCTTGCCAACTCTAAAGTGTGGTGTGACAACATGACTGTCCAATTCTAGCAGCAATCAGTGGTTAATTCTTACTCAAATGAAAATTTGCATTTGGCAAGTTTTCTACATTCTAATTTTTTTTTTGTCTTTTTGAGACAGGGTCTCCCTGTAGCCTCAGCTGGCCTGGAACTCACTATGTAGACCAGGCTGGCCTCAATCTCACAGAGATCTGCCTGCCTCTGCCTCCCAAATGCTAGGATTAAAGGCGTGCACCACCACGCCCAACCACATTCTAAATTTTTAAATATTTATTTTACTTTTATGCTAGCAATGTTCTGATCCACCAGCATCAATGAGAAATTTGGACTACCTAAACTATAATACCTCTTTTGAAGACAAGATAAATTCTTGTTTTTTTTTTCCTTTAGTTATTACCAAAGTTAAAAATAAGTAGTAACAGAATTCTTTCTGGATTCCTTTTTAAAGATATTTTATTTGTTATTTTAATTTTTAAATGTATGAGTGTATTGCCTGCATGTGTGTAAGTGCACCTGTGTCATGCAATGCCCATGGAGGTCAGAAGAGGGCATCAGATCCCCTGGAACTGGAGTTACAGATAGTTATTAACTGCCATATAGGTGCTAGGAATCAAACCCAGGTCCTCTGCAAGAGCAGTCAGTGCTCTTATATTATTATTATTTATTAGTTTGTGTGTGTGTGTGTGTGTGTGTTTGTGTGCCATTGCATGTGTGGAGGTAGAGAACAACTTTCAGGAGTTGCTTTTCTCACATTTTTGAGGCATAATCTCTTTTGTTTCTGCTCTACTGGGTACTGCAGACCAGCTGGTCCATGAGCTTCCAAGTGACTCTCCTGTCTTCACCTCCCATCTCATAGTCCTGGGGTCATGGGGATGACAGGCGCATGCCACCATGTCCAACTTTTTATAAGGGTTCCGGGATCAAACTCAGGTCATCAAGGCTCGTGCAGCAAGCACTTTTGCTGAACGGTCTCCCTGGCCTTGGATTTCTTTTAATTGATGCTCATTACTATGGATTCATAGTATGTCATTGCTTTAATATTTTTTTATTTATGCAGTTATTATTGTTTATGGGGGGGCTGTGCTTGCCTGTGTCTGTGTTTGTGTGTGTGTGTGTGTGTGTGTGTGTGTGTGTGTGTGTGTGTGTGTATCACCCAATGCAGACACTGACTTTGGGGATCTTCCTCTCTCACTTTCTACCTTTTTTGAGACAGGGTCTCTTCAATGAACCTGGAGTACCATTTTGGCTAGACCGACTGGTCAGGTCAGCAAGCCTGGGAGATGTACCTGTCTCCAAACTCCTGCTCTGGGGTTTTAGGCATGCACAGCCACACTCAGATTTTACTTGGATGTTATGGAAGATCCACACCCAGGCTGTCATGCCTTTGCAGCAGGCATCTTACCCACTGAGCCAGGGGCTGGAGAGAGATGACTCAGTGGTTAAGGGCATGTACTGCTCTTACAGGGGCCCAGAGTTTGGTTCTCAGCCCCAACATGAGGCAGCTCACAACTGCCTGTAACTACAGCTCCAGGGAGATCCTATGCCTCTGGCCTTCACAGACACCTGCACTGACATGCACATAGCACTCCCCCCACAGATACTTAATTAAATATATATATATACACACATATATACATATATATACATACATATATATGTCACAACTTTAGCAAGTGGGAAAGTGGGAGCTCTTGCATTCCTTAAAAACACTTTTCAATCCTTATAACTTTGAATTAATGATATTCCCCATTCTGCAGATGAAGAATCCAAGACTCAAATAAAAGAAATCCTCCTAATTTGAAATGACTCATTACAGAGCTGGCTTGGATATTAAAAATAGTTCTTTCTCATTTTACTCATTGAACAGAAAATAAGAAAATTTCAAAAAAAGAAAAAAAATTCAAGATTTAAAACAATTGGGGCTGAAGAGATAGCTCAGTGGTTAAGAGCACTGGCTGCGCTTGCAGAGGACCCAAGTTCAAATCCCAGAACCCACATGGTGGCTAATAGCCATCTGTAACTCCAGTTCCAGGGTATCCGACACCCTCTCTGACCTCTTCAGCCATTGCAGGACACAGGTTTATGTACACGCATGCATGCAATACACTCATACACATAAAATAATAAAAATAATTTTTAAGAATTTTTAAA